ATTGGAAACGATTTGGCTGAGACGATTAAGATCGGGAAGATGGCGTGTGAGGAGAAGGAATGTAACATCGAAACCCCAGAACCAGCAGCCCTGTTATGCTATACAGCAAGATGAAAGCGAGAGTCCAGAGTCCAGTTCTACAGTTGCCGAGCTTGTTAGTAAGACGGGAGGAGTTGAGGAGATTCGGCAGGAACAAAGAGCCGATGATTCTCTTAAGCCTCTATTGGCTGCAGCTCAAAACACCCAGGCATCAACACAGGAACAGCCCAACGAGTTTGTGCTAAAGAAGGGAGTCTTATACAGAAAAACCAAAAGAGTACCATCGACGGAAGGATCAGTGTCAGATAGTCAAATTGTAGTACCTCAAAAATTTAGAGAGCAGCTGATGAGGGTGGCACATGAAAACCCTCATGGTGGACATTTGGGTGTGAGGAAAACCACGAGCAGGATCACTAGGAATTTTTATTGGCCTGGCATGTTCCAGAGAATAAAGGAATTCTGCCAGTCATGTGATACATGCCAAAGACAAACTACAGGGAGGGATAAGACCAAAGCACCTCTTATTCCTATGCCTTTAATTGGAGAGCCATTCTACAGAGTGGGAATTGACATAATTGGTCCCCTCAACAAGCCAAGCAGACGTGGTTATAGATACATCTTAACTATGATAGACTATGCTACGAGGTATCCTGAAGCAATAGCTCTCACTAACATCGAGACTACAACTGTAGCTAATGCTTTATTGTCTATCTGGGGAAGGACTGGATATCCCAAGGAACTGGTATCTGACTTAGGGACCCAGTTTACCTCAAAGCTCATGACAAAACTGCTTGAGCTATGCGGAATTCGACATCTTACATCAACGGCATACCACCCCCAAACCAATGGGTTGGTTGAAAATCTGAATAAGACACTGATTAAGATGATGAAGTCATATTGCCAAGAAAGACCATTTGATTGGGACAATAAGCTTCAACAGCTATTATTTGCTTATAGAACCGTCCCTCAGGACAGTACAGGATACAGTCCTTTTGAACTGTTATATGGCAGGAAGGCTCGAGGACCGTTAGATTTGGTTAAAGAATTCTGGGAAGCTAGCCCAGTAACAGAACCGGTTCCTGTAGATGATTATTTGAGAGATCTTCAATCAACAATGCGGTTAGCCAGAGACATCGCACAAGAGCATCTAACTGCAGCACAACATCGGCAAAAAGACTATTACGATGCAAAGGCCAAACCAAGAACTTTCAATGTGGGAGACGAAGTCCTGTTTTTGTCGCCCAACAAAACCAGCAAGCTTCAACTGGATTGGTCGGGACCATGGAGAGTCACCAGAAAGCACAACCATGTGAACTATGACATCTATGATGAACATTTAAATGTTGAAAGGAGAGTCCATGTAAATATGTTAAAACCTTATGTTGTAAGGTCTGCGAATGTATGTTTTGTTGTTGCGGAAGAAGAATCCGGTCCCTTTTCTTTTTGGGAGGGTGATCGTGAACAGTATAAAAATTTAGATCGTATAAATATGAACATAGAATTGTTTAAAAAGCAGCATAGAGAAGTTGGATAATGTGAAAGGTACAAATAATAAGTTATTGAGATAGAGTTTGTGTTTGCAGGATTTTATGTTTCAGGTAAACGTAATGTGGTTGCGGACGCTTTGTCTAGGATTTCATAGTTTAAAGGTTTGTATATGTGTGTAATTAAAGTGTAATTAACCATAATGTGTTTCCCTTTCAGGAATGTTATGTATATGTATTTATTGTTAAGTAATATGTGAAGTTATTTTTGCCAATTCTAGGACTGAGAATGGTGCAAAAATACTTTTTCTGGGGGGGAAGGTGTAGAGAAGTGATTATTATAACTGTGTTTTAAACTGTGTTTATGCTTTACATTGTAGCCATGACCTAGCTGAGAGAGATAGGTTGCCATGGTGACAGGCCAGAGGAGGTGGGCGGAGCTTAAGTAGGAAAGGTTTGAAAACGACAGTTTAAAGTCAGTCAGGCGGATGAGACCCTGAAGGACAGAGTCAAAGGGGACTCTGGGATAAGAGTTCAGTCAGGCGGATGAGACCCTGAAGGACAGAGTCAAAGGGGACTCTGGGATAATAGTTCAGTCAGGGGAATGAAACCCTGAGGGGCAGAGTCAGTTGAGGCTCTGTGGTGTAGTGTAAATTCAGCCAGTTCTTAGGATTTGTGAATATTATTCCAGCTAGGAAGCTGGAGGTGAAACCTCGTTAGATTGCTTGAGTAAAGAAAGAATCTAACAAGAAAGAGGTTTAGGGATCCCAGTGGTGAATGGCTGGAGATCGCTAGTTTGATCCTGTGTAGGACAAACAGTTGTAAATATTCACAATAGGGAACTGAAATATTAAAGCACCTCATTGTAGAAGAAGTCAAAGAATTGTAACATCACCTGAATGTATCTCAACTAAGCCATATTTGTAACCATCAAGCTTGTGCCAAGTTCAACAGTTAATATTGCAACAGTTACGCTCCGACAATAAATCTGTTCTCTTTGTGTTTTAAAACCTGCCTCATCCATTGATTTCAACGTTTTGCACAATCCACACTACCAAAGTGGCCTCACAACCCAGATAAGAAGAAACAGAGATTATATTACCAATATCTCTTTATATTAGGGTGGCAGCTTAACCTAGAAGTCTCAAATTCTCATTACATTTGTGTGGTGATCCTATTTAGTTGGGATTTCACGCCATTATTTTATTTTTGGAGACTACTTCACATATTTTGGTGGCAGCAAGTGAACGGCTTCGAATTGTAGTAACGAGCGGTGGGGACGCGGCTTCGCAGGAGCGAACCAAGGGTACAGTTGTAAAATATTTTTTAAAACCCCAAAATTAAAAAAATGGCATTATATTAACTGTCCTTTGCAAGATAATTTTCTGATGTTTGTTTACACTGGTTATTGACTTTGCAAATACTGTCTGAACTTTCCAATTTAAAATTAATACTTTTCTTGGACATATATGTTCAAGACACTTTAACCTCCCAGTATTTCTCATTGAGGGTTCTGCTTGTGTGGGGGCTGATGGGAACATTTGATGCCTCACTAAACTACAAATCCCAGCATTACATAGTATTGATCTGTGACAAATAGGAGCTCCAGGTACTCATGAAGCAGCTTCTCCTGGTGCTTTGACTCAGCACTAAGATTACAGTATTATGCGAATCAAATGTGCACCCTAATTTTGGCAAGGTGATTTAGCCAAAAAGGTGGGTGTTAGATTTGAGTAAATTTAGTATTTACTGAATGTATATCTCACCTTTTCATTAAAGACAGTGCAACAATAAAGCATAGTTAAAACAGCAAAATTATTAAAGTTGAAATAAAATATATCCAAGTAATGCAATGTGTGGAAAGAAGTACTTTTACTTCAGCAAATCAATTCAGAACCACAATGTCTGTTTGTGCAAAAATATCTTTCCTGGATAGCAAGAGGATAATGGCAGGTAGATCCAAAGCCTTCAAGCAGTTTTGGTTTTCATTGAAACAAACCAAGGATCGGAACATTATTTTGGGAAGGGGGAGAAAATTACAAAAATTCCCTGGCCTTCACATCTAGCAGGGGTATACTGTCACTAGCTTAGAGATTGATATTATACCTGTAGTTACTCAGTACTGATTTCTCTAGTTGCAATCTAGTAGCAGTGTTAGTTCTGTATTGTGAAAAGCAGTATGAGCTGCTGTTTTGCCTTTAGGCTGCTCTACGTTCTGGGACAGTAAATCAGAGTTACAACTTTCTCTATAGCCACACATATAATGAAGACGAAACACCCAATATATCAAAGCTAATGGTAATCACAGCATTAATTCTATTGAATATAATTCCTGTACAGTATTTTGAGTGCATACATATTCATTTTTGAGAGTGCCATAACTTCCTATATAAGGAAGCAATGTGTGGAAAGTGTTACACAATGTTTCCAACAGAAATGATTGAATACCAAACAGAAATTTAGGGAGCAGTTCATGGATTAATTAAAGCTAGTCTCCAATTCACTGAATTATCCTGCTTAGTTTGTAGACAGAAGAACCAAACTATTTTTTTGGTAATGTAGTTAATTAACAATAATCATTTTAAACACCAAGAGACAGTGGGGCTATAATACATTCTCTTTCTTACCAGCAGCTAGAAAACCTGAATGTATTATAGCCCCACTGTCTCTTGGTGTTCAAAATGATTTTATTATTTTCCCCCTCAACTAAGGCTGTGAATATTAAGAAAAATGAAAGTGGCAGCCTTAGTTGAGGGGAAAATAATAAAATACATTTTTAACTAAAGTTACAAAAGATACTGCAATCATGCAGCCTTCCAGATCTTTGGCTACAAATCCCAATAGGTCTAGCCAGTTGGGAGCTGCAATTCTACAGCCTTTGACAGCTACATGATTCTCATGCCTGTTTTAGATCCGGATAAGAAGACATTAACCATGGATAGACTTCCTTCTCTATGGCTAAGAAAAAATATTACAGTGGAATCTCGCTTATCCAACCTTCGCTCATCCAACATTCTGTATTATCCAAGGCAGCCTGCCTCCGGTCTGGATCCACAGCTGTTTCAATACATTTCGATGTTCTGGTGCTAAATTCATAAATACGGTTATTACTACATAACATTACTGTGTATTGAACTGCTTTTTCTGTCGATTTGTTGTAAAACATGATGTTCTGGTGCTTAATTTGTAAAATCATAATGTAATTTGACATTTAATAGGTTTTTCCTTAATCCCTCCTTATTATCTAACAGTTTCGCTTATCCAACATTCTGCCAGCCTGTTTATGTTGGATAAGCAAGACTCTACAGTATGTTTAAACCCAGCATGAAGAATTCTTGACTTTTCTCACGTAGTACCTAAATTACGTGGATTACAGAACCTAGTTCACACTTATACAGTAAAAAAATTATATATAAAAAGTTTATGGATTTTTAACAAGCTGCTGAAATATAGCATAAGCTTCTTTCAGTTTCTTACCCAATTGTTGGATTGATGTTGGGATCAAAGCTGTCTTCTACAAAGCGCCATACAATGCTTGATTTGCCTACACCAGTGTCCTGAAAGAGAAGTCAAAGGGGTATTTTAAAGATAAACAGGCATTTTAAAGATAAATGGACAATAAACATATTATCTAAAGAAGGATTTCTTTTAGTGATCTTCACTTCTTTTCTGACCAAGACAAAGCTATTACAGGGATTTCTTGGCAAGATTTGTTCAGAGGAATGTTGTCATTCCTCTGAACAAAGGGATTCAAAGTCTAGTCCCCTAGTTCCAATACTCAACCCATTGCCTCTATTGGCTTTCCTTGCAATAATATGATAAATTCTGATTATTTTGAAATTTCTCTTCTCAACTGTATGCAACTGGACTGATTGATAACTGGCAAACAGAGGGAGAAAATGTGGAGGCAGTGACAGACTTTGTATTTCTAGGTACAAAAATTAGTGCAGATGCAGATTGCAGCCAGGAAATCAGAAGACGTTTACTTCTTGGGATGAGAGCAATGACCAATCTCAATAAAATAGTGAAGAGTAGAAACATCACACTGGCAACGAAGATCCGCATAGTTAAAGCAATGGAATTCCCTGTAGTAACCTATGGATGTGAGAGCTGGACCAAAGGAAGGCTGAGCGAAGGAAGATAGATTATTTTGAACTATGGTGTTGGAGGAAAATTCTGAGAGTGCCTTGGACTGCAAGAAGATCCAACCAGTCCATACTTCAGGAAATAACACCCGACTGCTCACTGGAGGGAAGGATATTAGAGGCAAATATGAAGTACTTTAGCCACATCATGAGAAGACAGGAAAGCTTAGAGAAGACAATGATGCTAGGGAAAATGGAAGGAAAAAGGAAGTTATGATTGTTTAACTAATGTTGTTTTAACTTATTGTATTGCATGTTTTTATCTTGTTATTATAATTGTAATTATTGCGGCATTGACTCATTGCCATTGTTAGCCGCTCTGAGTCCCCATGCGGGGGTGAGAAGAGCGGGGTAAAAATGTTGTAAATAAAAAATAAATAAATAAGAGGGGCCGACCAAGAGCAAGATGGATGGATGGTATCCTTGAAGTGACTGGCTTGACTCTGAAGGAGCTGGGGGTGGTGACAGCCGAGAGGGAGCACTGGCCTGGGCTGGTCCATAAGGTCACGAAGAGTTGGAAGCGACTGAACAAATAAACAATAACAACAACTGTATGATACTGAGGCACAAAGAAGAAAATAGTATGCTGCTACAGATATGGCTAAAGTTAGTGTACATCATTTAGGCAACAGCTAGATTCCTGGCTGCCACCTGCATCCTCTCAAAATGTGGTGAATCCAGGAGGACCTATAACTTGCACAATCCATCCTTCAATGGTAATGAAACCCCCCATCCAGGACCAATTTCATATACCATCCAAATAAACCAATTCCTCACTCCACAAAATTCTGTTTTATCTAGATTTAGTTTCAGCCTGTTCTCATTCACTTATGGGAAGAAAAGATAACACCTTATTAAGAAATTTGGAGAATACTGCCACTTGTTCTCTTGCTTTCTCCTTAATTTTGGCTAAGCAGACAGTGCATCTTTAAGAGGCCTAAACAGATGATGAAGTATCTATGCTAGTAACAATATATTTTTTATCACTTGTGGAGGGGAAAATGCATGTTACCCACTCAACATTGAAGTTACTTAAACTGACCTGAATCTCCCTGTGAGATGAATCAAGTTTGTCTTCCCATAATTTCAGACTCCAATATTAGTATACCAAAATTGATCTTTTAGCTTTCACTTCATTGAGATGTCAATTCTGGATAACTCAATGAGGCTTCCACACTTTCACTACATACAATATTTCACAGGAACAGAGCAGCTCTGTGTGTACCAACCCTAAAGATGTGTATAGTAAACACCTCAGGCTAGAAACAAAAAGGTGTTGAACTAGTTGGTGAGTGCTTGTTACTCATTGAGCTCCACCCTATTTCATCAAAGACCATACATACTTTCAGTGACACTCCTAAAATATTAAGCAGCGATGAGTAAATAATTTTACATCCTGAAAGTTCTAGATTATTTTTATCTCGTTTATAAATAGGGGCAAAACATTCCAGGTAACCTGTATTTATCACTCACATACACTGCCTATTTAATGCAGTTCAAAGCTAGCTTCAAACTGTGGTGGCCAGTCAACGAACTCCCAAAAACGTGAGTGAAAGATAGCCCGTAATGCACATCAATGCTCTGTGGTTTGTGTAATCACCATCCAGGCCCCAAACCGGTTCCAGGATGTTCTATATCACTGGCACAGCGAAACCAATTTTTTTCCAATATCAGTTTGAAACTTCATTAAAAGGTCAGTGCAGATTAAGCCTTTTTTTGTACAAAAAAATCACTATAAGCAAAGATATATAAAGGAGGTGGTTAGAGCCTTGTAGCCAAGTTGCATGGTATGAAAACCAATCTCATGCCTTTTTTGTCATTTTAGAAATGAGCCCAGATTTGAGGTAGCAGGGAATTCTGAATCTTTAATAGACATCTCTGTCTATGTCAGTGGTTACCAACCTGAACTAAAATATGATCAGTGGCCTCACCATTACTACACCATTGCAACAAGAGCTACTGGTCTCGCGAAACCCTCTTTTAGTGCTGAAGCTTATTAAATATGGTTTTCTGTGGGTGAGCAGATGGCATATGTTCTGTATCAGAAACTAGAACTGATGTGGTCTAGCTAATGCAATTTTATGAATCAGCAACCCAAATAACCAAACAAAATCTAAAGTTGATCAAAAACTGATTCGAAACCCTTCTGGTACTAATGTTGGAGAGTGGTCCCTGGTCAAAAAAATGTTTGGGAAGCACTGGTCTATGTGAAGGTTTATGAAAACATGTTTGGTCTTTAAACTCAAAATGAAAGACATATTCCATCTTTATATCATTTTAAGATAATTAAATCGATACTTAAAGAAACCATGTTTAACTCTCTTATACTATAATGGGCTATTTCGTTTGAAAGTCATGCTTTGTTGCAAAATCTACATAGAAGAATTACCTACCATGTAGGCATTCTTCGGTGTTATCTTAACAGTGATAAAAATTCTCCTAATTTTCAGTCATCTGTAAAGACCCCCCTCCATAAACAACAGCTACAAAATAAATCCTGGCAGAATTAAATATAGCTCAAAAAATTGACTGTTTCTTTTTCCATCGGGATACATTTTATACCAGCCAATAAAATGCATTGAAAGAAGAACTGTTCAATGCCTTTTTAGTGAATCAACATGTAGTGAATCAGAAGCAATGTACTCAGCAGTACATTATTATTATTATTATTACTCCATTTTATCTCCCCAAAGAGGACATAAAAGCATTAGCATAACCATTTAAAATATACAAATATATGAACATTAAAACAGGATTAAATATAAACAGTGTTTTAAAAATCCCAGTTAAAAACTATTAAAACAAATACAAAGTTAAAAACCACAGCACCCCCGAATTGATCTTAAAACACCTTGGTCCCATTTAAAAAAAATTGATATTTCTTTGGAAGGGGCACACTGGATTATACTGGGAAGCGGGGAGTATACCACTCAACATATATAGTGTCTCTATTATTTTTTTTCTTATTATAAGTATTTTAATTTTTGGCTTTGTGTATTGGTTGATTCTACAGACGCAAATAATTTTGTGGATGTGGGATATTTCTACACACCTCAACACTTCGGAAACCTCACTGTGGTCAGAAAATATATCACAACTAAAACATTAAGTTATTTTCTCAGAGAAAGGAAGTAGAAAGAAAAGATTAGCAGAGATTAATATCTTGGCAATGTCCTTTTCATCTTCATATGCAGAACATTTCCTGCTCTATAGAGGTCAGTCCTTTTCAGGAAGAAGTGAAATCTATCTGTCATGTTTGTCACAAGGTTGGCAGGAAAAAAGTGAGCATAATACATACTGGACTCCATTCCATGAATCAAAGTATGACTTAAAAAGACTTACTTCTAAGGAGATATGAATAGGAATTGCACTGAACCATACATGCAATTTTGTCCATAACCCAGGGTCCTTCCAGACAGGCCCTATATCCCAGGATCTGATATCAGGCAGTCTGCTTTACACTGGATTATATGAGTTCACACTACCAGATAAATTTGGGATAAACAGAAAATTTAATCTGGAGCTTTACAACTGAATACAAAGGAACTTATTCTTAAATATGTTTGCAACTTTAAACAGTTCCTCTTGATATACTGTTGCTGCGTGTCCTCAAGTTGTTCCTGGCCTATGCTGACCCTAAGGAGACACTATTACATGGTTTTCATGGAGGGAAATTGCTAACTATTCAAGCAACTCTTTATACTTTTTCAAGCCATCCATAGATCCAAAATCTGTGGATCCAGAGGGGCAAAACTGTAAACATCTACAAAACCTCTGTAAATATTACATGCATGTCTCAATTACATGACTATGGGCAAAGATAACAATCACACAAGTGGAGCGTCCACACCTTCTTCATCCACTTCTCTAATGATGCAAATAAGCCTGCTTAGGGCCCTATCACACTCTAAGTGTTGTTATTCCACTTTAACTGTCTTGGAAACATTGGGTACGTCATTAGTAATAATCAGCCACCTGTCACAAAGAGCTATATATATATATCCTGATGACCTTGGCATAACAACACAAGCAAAAGACTTTGAAACAGTCAAAAACCAACTTACTAATGTCCTGAAAGATTTCTCCAGCTACTACAAAGATACGCATCAGAAGCCTAACCCTGCCAAGACACAAGTGTGTGCTTTCCACCTAAGTAACCATGAAGCCAATAGGAAATTAAAAGTTACCTGGGGAACGCCAAGAGCTCAAACACTGTTCCCATCCTAAATATCTAGGAGCCCTTCCACACAGACCTATATCCCAGAATATCATGGTAGGAAATCCCTATCGGCTGTTAGGAATTGTGGGAGTTGAAGTCCAAAACACCTGGAGGGAAGGCCGAAGTTGGCCCATGCCTGTTCTAGAGGCTTTCCCAACTCGAAGATGCTGTCACGGATTAGGATTCGGTTTTGGAAACCCCCAAGCAAGTGTCCCCCCCAAACTTACCCCGAGAAGGCAAACTTTGAGCTCCCTGAGAGCCATGGCGAAGGCAGTCTGTGTGTCTCCGTCTCTCTTCAGGGCCCCTTTCCACCGCCCATGGCCCTTCCCTGGCTCTCCTCGCTTCCCCAGCCCTGTCTCCAACGGGATGGGAATGGAAACAAAGCGATGGCTGAGTCCAGGCGCCCTTCCCCGGAGTCCTGCCGCTCTCCACCCGCTCAGTCCCAGGCAAGCCTCCTCTTCCTCCGCCTCCTCCTCAGGCTCCGCAGGCCGGGCGCCATCTTGGGGCGGGGCTTTGGAGTCACCTGACCAAAGTTTGAAGTCTCCGCCCCTTTCAGTGACGCAACGCTGTCAAGAGCAAGGAAGGCGGAAGGAGAGGCCTTGCCCATTTCAGTCTTCCTCGCCTGCCTGAAGGCTCTCCATTCATAGAATCATAGAATCAAAAGTTGGAAGAGACCTCATGGGCCATCCAGTCCAACCCCCTGCCAAGAAGCAGGAATATTGCATTCAAATCACCCCCGACAGATGGCCATCCAGCCTCTGTTTAAAAGCTTCCAAAGAAGGAGCCTCCACCACACTCCGGGGCAGAGAGTTCCACTGCTGAACGGCTCTCACAGTCAGGAAGTTCTTCCTCATGTTCAGATGGAATCTCCTCTCTTGTAGTTTGAAGCCATTGTTCCGCGTCCTAGTCTCCAAGGAAGCAGAAAACAAGTTTGCTCCCTCCTCCCTGTGGATTCCTCTCACATATTTATACATGCTATCATATCCCCTCTCAGCCTTCTCTTCTTCAGGCTAAACATGCCCAGCTCCTTAAGCCGCTCCTCATAGGGCTTGTTCTCCAGACCTTTTATCATTTTAGTCGCTCTCCTCTGGACACATTCCAGCTTGTCAATATCTCTCTTGAATTGTGGTGCCCAGAATTGACACAATATTCCAGATGTGGTCTAACCAAAACAGAATAGAGGGGTAGCATTACTTCCCTAGATCTAGACACTATGCTCCTATTGATGCAGGCCAAAATCCCATTGGCTTTTTTTGCCGCCACATCACATTGTTGGCTCATGTTTAACTTGTCCACGAGGACTCCAAGATCTTTTTCACACGTACTGCTCTCGAGTACCTTTCAGGTTTACTATATTTCTTTAATGACTGTTTCTACACCTGACTGGGACCTTTGCATCTTTCATTGTCATAACATTGGGAAGAAAAGGAAGTACAGAGCTTTCTCCACTTCCCTGTGTGTGTCTCTGTATGTATATATACACACCCACATATACACACACTGTGTGAACAGGTGGAAAGGCAAGCATATTATCTATATATTCACACATGCATATATATATATATATATATATATATATATATATAAACAAGTGAAGAGGCACATATATGCACATATGCACATATGCAGATATATATATATATATATATATATATATATATTATTTGGGGTGCTTCTACCCCGCCCTTCTCAACCCCCTAGGGGGGACTCAGGGCGGCTTACAAAAGGCACAATTCGATACCTAACAATTACAACATACAATGCAATATACAATACACAAATTTACCACATAATATCACAGTTATAACTGATTAAAACAATCAGACAGTATACTATATGGACAAGTGTATATACACATACACACAGGATATTTTTTTTTGTCGTGTCAGGAGCAACCTGAGAAACTGCAAGTCGCTTCTGGTGTGAGAAAATTGGCCATCTGCAAGGATGTTGCCCAGGGGACGCCCCGGATGATGTGATGTTTTGTCATCCTTGTGGGAAGCTTCTCTCATGTCCCCACATGAGGAGCTGGAGCTGATAGAGGGAGCTCATCCACCTCTCCCCGGATTCGAACCTGCGACCTGCCGGTCTTCAGTCCTGCTGGCACATCATTATTATTTATTTATTATTATTATTAAACTTTATTTGTACCCCGCTAGCATCTCCCGCAAGACTCGATGCGGCTTACAAAGGCCAAGGCCTCAACTCAACAACAACAAAACAATAACAATACAATTTAAAGCAAATTAAAACATAAGCAATGAGAAAACAATACATCAATTACGCAATAAAAACCAGGGCCGGGCCAGTGATGGGTACAGGTTAAAAAAGTGCTGGGTGTGACAGGTGGTATTTTGGATTTCCGGGCAAGTGCAATATGCAGAGAGTCTTAAACTCTAATAAAGTGCTTCTGGGACGTAGTGTTGGAGTTTATCCTATTCTGGAAAGGCACATCGGAATAGCCAGGTCTTCAGATTCTTCCTGAAGACTGCCAACGTGGGTGCTAGTCTAATATCTTTGGGGAGGGTGTTCCAGAGTCGGGGGACAACCACAGAGAAGGCCCTGTCCCTCATCCCCACCAAACGCGCCTGTGACGCAGGTGGGATCATAAGCAGGGCCTCTCCGGATGAACGAAGAGATTGTGTGGATTAATACACGGAGATGCGGTCACGCACAGGGGTTTAACCCACACAGGGCTCCATACACAGAGGATATATCTTCTATATAAATAAAAATGTAATATTAGTTTGTGGGATTAACATAACTCAAAAACCACTGGATGAATTGACACCAAATTTGGATACAATACACCTATCAGGCCAACGAGTGACCATCACTCATAAAAAAAACAATAAAAAACATAGAGGAAGTGCCATATATATATGCACAGAACCACATATACACACATACACACACACACACATATAAATATACACAAAACACATATACACAGACTGGACCACAGCAACGCGTGGCAGGGGATGGCTAGTATCTATATAAATAAAAATGTAATGTTTGTTTGTGGGATTAACATAACTCAAAAACCACTGGATGAACTGACACCAAATTTGGACACAATACTCCCGTCAGGCCAATGAGTGACCATCACTCATAAAAACACTGGAAAACACAGTAAAAGAGACTTAAAAAGCCAAAAAATAAAAATACATTACAACACATACACAAAACCATATATATATATATATATATACACACACACACACATATATACACATATACACAAATATATATACACACATAAAACACATATGCACAGACTGGGCCACAGCAACGCGTAGCAGGAGACAGCTAGTGTATATATATATATATATATATATATATTAGGCCTGGGTAACAACGGAAAAATTTGTTTCTAAAATCGATTCGTTTTTTGGGGTTTTTTGCGTTTCGTTATTTAAAATAATTATAAAATTTTCCTTTAAAAAAGTTCGATATTTACGAAATTTCGTAAATGTGAAAAAATTACAAAACAATAACGAATCGATTTCCGAAACAATAACGAATCGATTCGTTAATGGCGGACGCGACCGCGCAATACGCTAAAAAACCTCCAAATGGGACAGGGGGAACTTCTGAAGCTTAATTAAACCAAAAACAACTATAAAAACCCTTAGAAAACCAAAAACAACTATAAAACTTGCCCCAGACATGCGGAAATAATAACGAAACGACCTCAAAACGATAACAAAACGAATACAATAACGAAATACAAAACATTTACGAAACGATTTAAAAATTCGTTTTTTTAAAAAATTGCTCCAGACTGGTTCGTTATCGTTTTGTAATTGAAAAATTAACGAATTTTTTAACGAATTACGAATTAACGAAACGAAACCGCCCAGCCCTAATATATATATATATATATATATATATATATAATATGAGAGAACAGGTGGAAAGGCAAGAGCTCTCAGGATGTAGGTGAACTACAACTCCAAAACTCAAGATCAGTAGCCACCAAGTCCTTCTAGTGCTTTTTGTTGGTCATGGGAGTCCTGTGTGTCAAGTTTGGTTCAATTCCATCGTTGGTGGAATTCAGAATGCTCTTTGATTGTTGGTGAACTTTAAATCCCAGCAACTACAACTCCCAAATGACAAAATCAACCCCTCCCCAACCCCACCAGTATTCAAATTTGGGCGTATTGGGTATTTGTGCCAAATTTGGTCCAGTGAATGGAAATACATCCTGCATATCAGATATTTGCATTGCGATTCATATCAATAGCAAAATTACAGTTATGAAGTAGCAACAAAAATAATGTTCTGGTTGGGGGTCACCACAACATGAGGGACTGTATTAAGGGCTTCACAGCATTAGGAAGGTCGAGAACCACTGCTCTATGGTCTTATGCAAGGGATTTTTTTTGCTCAGTTAGATTGGGTATATGTGCCAAATTTGGTCCAGTGAATGAAAATTCATCTAATTACATGACGATTCATAACAGTAGCAAAATTACAGTTCTGAAGTAGAAATGAAAATAATTTTTATGGTTGGGGGTCATTACAGCATGAGGAACTGATTTAAGGGGTTGGGAGGCACTGTCCTAGAGGGATGTGCCTGCCTTTGCCTTCCAGGGGCTCCTCCTTTTGGGCTCTTCCTCCTCCTCCTCCTCCTCTTTCTGCCCAAATCTCCTCCCTTCTCTCCTCCCCTTCCCCTTCCCTCCCCACCAATGTCTCTTTCAAAATGGCTGGTAAGTAGCTTTTCATTCTCTTGGCTGCTTCCTTCGTGGAGAGAATGGCTGCTTTGCCTCGCTTTTCTGCCTTGGGCAACCTTGTAACGCTTCCCTGCATCCGGTATTGGCTTCCTTTTCTTTCTCCTTTCTCTAATGGCACCGCACCTCTATTATTACCTAGGTAGATATGGAAATGAATGAGGGGGTTTAAATGTGACGTAAACTTTGCGTGCTGGCTTTCTTTTCATTTGCTACGGTTGATGTTTATTTCTTTGGAAAAAATCTGCCTCCTCTCTGCAAAAAAAAAAAGGGGGGGAGGGAAGAAGAAGAAAATAAAACCCCACCAACCTCGTTTTGTCTTCTCTCTTTTTCTCCCATCTCTCTCTCTCCCTTTTCCTCTTTTGTTTCTGTTTGTAGGGATCCCTTTGTATTTTGTGGATTTGCAGGATGACTTAGATGATTGTGAGTAACTGTTTCCAATTTTATTTATTTCCACTTTAAAGCAAATACATGACGCTATCACAGCAGGGAAATGGCTGGTGGCTTTTCCTCTCTCAAACACCTCTCCTTCCTCATCACCTACATACAAGGCAGGGAATGGCAGAGGTGGGGATCCCCGCCCCTTCTCTCCAGAGTTAAGGCCAATTGTTATTTCTAGGAGGATGCGTATTGTACAAATAGAGGCTTTGGGTTCGGTTGTGGCTTGTTGATCTGTCATGGCTTGATTTCTATAGCCCTGAATCCACTACGAGGAAGCGAGCCTTTTCCTGTCAATGACACTTACTTCCAATGAGTAGACATTGAAAGAGATCTGACAGGTTTGACTGTCACGCCTGCTTTGCAACGCTGTTCTAGCACATTAGAATGGATGCAGGTGTAAGGATGTTTAAGGATGGACCTTCCCCACTTATTTAAGACACAGCAATAGTTTTAGAACAGGCATGGGCAAACTTCGGCCCTCCAGGTGTTTTGGACTTCAACTCCCACAATTCCTAACAGCCTGGCGTACCTGCATCCCAGCAAACTTCCAGCAGGCATGGGCAGACTGCGTCCCTCCAGGTGTTTTGGACTACAACTCCCACAATTCCTAACAGCCTGGCGTACCTGCATCCCAGCAAGCCTTTAACACAGGCATGGGCAGACTTTGGCCCTCCGGGTGTTTTGGACTTCAACTCCCACAATTCCTAACAGCCTGCTGTACCTGCATCCCAGCCAACTTTTAGCAGGAATGGGCAGACTGCGTCCCTCCAGGTGTTTTGGGCTACAGCTCCCACAATTCCTAACAGCCTGGCGTACCTGCATTCCAGCAAACTTCTAACGCAGGCATGGGCAAACTTCGGCCCTCCAGGTGTTTTGGACTTCAACTCCCACAATTCCTAACAGCCTTTCTGGTCAAGATTGGACATCTTGGCAGAGCAATATAGCACCCCAAGGGTATGCCAGTCCTTTCAGTAGACCTAAGCACAAGCATAAGGCCAAGTTAAAAGTACTATATAACTCAGGCATGGGCAAACTTTGGCCCTCCAGGTGTTTTGGACTTCAACCCCTACAATTCCTAAAAGCCTTTCCGGTCAAGATTGGACATCTTGGCAGAACAATATAGCACCCCAAGGATATGACAGTCCTTTCAGTAGACCTCAGCACGAGCATAAGGCCAAGTTACAAGTACTATATAACTCAGGCATGGGCAAACTTTGGCTCTCCAGGTGTTTTGGACCTCAGTCCCAACAATTCCTAAAAGCCTTTCTGGTCAAGATTGGACATCTTGGCAGAGCAATATAGCACCCCAAGGATATGCCAGTCCTCGCACATAATGGAGCCCCGGTGGCACAGTGGGTTAAACCCCTGTGCCGGCAGGACTGAAGACCGACAGGTCGCAGGTTCGAATCCGGGGAGAGTGCGGTTGAGCTCGCTCTATCAGCTCCAGCACCTCATGCGGGGACATGAGAGAAGCCTCCCACAAGAATGATAAAACAGTAAAAAAAACTATCCGGGTGTCCCCTGGGCAATGTCCTTGCAGATGGCCAATTCTCTCACACTAGAAGCGACTTGCAGTTTCTCAAGTCACTCCTGACACAACCAAAAAAAACCAAACACTAGCATAAGGCCAAGTTACAAGTGCTATATAACTCAGGGATGGACAAACTTCAGCCCTTCAGGTGTTTGGACTTCAACTTCCACAATTCTGGCTGTTAGGAATTGTGGGAGTTGAAGTCCAAAACAACTGGAGGGCCGCAGTTTGCCTGTGCCTGTGTTAGAAGTTTGCTGGTGATACAGGTACACTAAAAAATAGGAAATACATTATTAAACAGCTAAGAGTTCCATCCCACTTTTATAGGAACAGTGGTGGAAATTTCTAATATAATGACAGAATATTTGTTTCTTTATAGTAAAAGGTGAACAAATTTGAATTTCTAGATTAGGCCCAGAGTTCAGAGGGGAAATGCATCCTGTGCTTTAAAATAGCGCTAGGTTATATTCCAGTTAAGAGGCCTAATTGCTCAAAACAAAAGCAAAACAGAATGAAAAAGCCCCATCAAAACTTCAACCCAAAACTATATTATACAGTTCTGTTTTGTGTAAGCAGTAAAAATAAAGAGTAATATGTCTGCTAAGAGACTAAGCATGTGGCATGAATAGTCATGGGAAAGAACTGCTTTTGGACTGCATACATTTGCATTTAGGTTTGCATTCATCTTGTTCTAAAACCCGTTACTGATTTTGTTTATAGTTATAAGTTTTTGGTGTTATTTTGTATCATTTTGTATTATTTTGGTGTGTTTTGCATTTGATTAAGGCACTGAATATTTGTCTTTTTGTATGTAAACCACACTGTGTCCCCTCAGGAAGAAAGGGTGGTCTATAAAGTTTTATTGTTGTTGATATTTCTTATGTGCCTTCAAGTCATTTCTGTCTTTTGGTGACCCATTTCTAATTTATGGTAATTTATGATGAACCTGCTAGCAGATATTCTTGGTAGAATTTGTTCAGAGTGAGTTTATCCTCTCCTTCCTCTGAGGCTGAGAGTGTGGATTGCCCAAGCCTATCCAGTGGCGTTCCATGGCTGAACAGGGATTTGAATCCTCTCCTACGCAACTGAACCATTACATGATGCTGCCTCTTAGTTGGTTTAATGCATATTCATAATAATTTGGGCAAAGTTTAGTTCTGAGTTTGCACGGGCACTCATTACCAAGGTGGGTGTGTAGGGCTGATCTTGTGCCTAAAGATATGAATATAAGGGACCCTTGTCCTGACTATAGTTTATCATTTTCTTCAGAAAAGTATAGGCAGTTCCTGAGTTACAGACATATGACTTACAAATGACTCACAGTTAAAACTTGTGCCCCAGCTGCACCCATACCTTGAGACACTTGACTCGGCCATGGTAGTCCACGCCTTAGTCACATCCCATTTGGACTACTTATTTATTTATTTATTTATTTATTTATTTATTTATTTATTGTGTCAGAAGTGAACCAAACAGTTGTATTACATTAAAAACAAACAAACAAAACACAAAGTTTGCAAACTTGGAAGTTGATTAAATGTCCTTTGACCAGTAGCTGGCCATTTGGAGTGCCTCTGGTGTTCCTGCAAGGAGGTCCTCCATTGTGCATGTGGCAGGGCTCAGGTTGCATTGCAGCAGGTGGTCTGTAGTTTGCTCTTCTCCACACTTGCATGTTGTGGATTCCACTTTGTAGCCCCATTTCTTAAGGTTGGCTCTGCATCTCGTGGTGCCAGAGTGCAGTCTGTTCAGCGCCTTCCAAGTCGCCCAGTTTTCTGTGTGCCCAGGAGGGAGTCTCTCATTTGGCATCAGGCATTGATTGAAGTTCTGGGTTTGAGCCTGCCACTTTTGGACTCTCGCTTGCTGAGGTCTTCCAGCAAGTGTCTCTGTAGATCTTAGAAAACTATTTTTTGATTTAAGTTGTTGGCGTGCTGGCTGATACCCAAACAGGGTGGGACGGAGATGTCACTGCCTTGGTAATTTCACTATTGGTTGCTACTTTTGCAACTTCCTGGGGAATGTCAGGTGGTGCAATACCGGCTAAAGCAGTGTCGGAGCCTGCAGTGGTTTAGGGCGCAGACACCCCATGATAATGCGGCATGTCTCATTAAGAGCCACATCCAGTGTTTTAACGTGGTGAGATGTGTTCCACACTGGGCATGCATACTCAGCAACAGAGTAGCATAGCACAAGGGTAGATGTCTTCACTGTATCTGGTTGTGATCCCCAGCTTGTGCCACTCAGCTTTCATATGATATTGTTTCTAGCGCCCACTTTTTGCTTGATATTCAGGCAGTGCTTCTTGTAGGTCAGAGCATGGTCCAGAGTGACTCCCAGGTGTTTGGGTGTGCTGCAGTGCTCCAGTGGAATTCCTTCCCAGGTAATCCTCAGAGTTTGGAATGCTTGTCTGTTCTTAAGGGGAAAAGCACATATCTGTGTTTTAGATGGATTAGGGATCAGCTGGTTTTCCCTGTAATAGGCAGTAAGAGCATCTAGAGCTTTGGAGAACTTCTGTTCAACCATCTCAAAGCTCCCTGCTTGAGCGGTAATGGTACAGTTTGTACTACTGCAGCGCTTTTTATGTGGGGCTGCCTTTGAGGATAGTTTGGCAGAGATCAGTGGCTAGATTGCTAACTGGAGCGCCGTGTAGTGAGAGGACAACTCCCATGGTGCGGCAGCTCCACTGGCTGCCGGTCTGCTTCTGAGCTAAATACAAAGTACTGATCGTTACCTATAAAGCCCTAAACGTTTTGGGTCCACGCTATTTTCTAATCACATCTCCCTGTACAGACCATCCCATGCACTACGGTCAATGGAGGAGGCGATCCTCTCAGTCCCACCTCCGTCACCAGCTTATTTGGTGGGAACAAGAGAATGAGCTTTCTCCGTGATTGCTCTCTGTCTCTGGAACCCCCTCCCTAAAGAAGTAAAAATGCCCCTCCCACCCTTCTTTCCTTTAAGAAACTTCTAAAAATGCACCTATACACTTTAGCGTATGGAGAGCAGGAGGACTAAGACACTTTAACTACTTGGTTTGCTGGCTAGTAGCACTAAGTTTCCAACAGACCTCACAACCTCTGAGGATGCCAGCCACAGATGCAGGTGAAATGTCAGGAGAGAATGCTTCTAGAACATGCCTATGCAGCCTGAAAAACCTGTGACAACCCTGTGTTCATGTGTCTTAGGTGGCATATCATCAGAAGAGGTAATATGTCAGAGGAAAAGGCATTGCCTCTTTCAAAATGCTGCCTTGCCATTTGCACTTTTTATAAGGACTAATACAGTATGATGTGATATCCATGGTTTCACTTAGGCTCCATCTGCACTGACCATTTAATGCACTTCGAAACTAGCTTCAAACTGTGGCTGCCAAACAACCAAAGCCCACTAAAGAAAGCCTTTGATGTGTATCAGTTCTCTGCAGTTTGTGTTGTCACAGTCTGGTCTCAAACTG